GAATTCTCTCAACCACACATGGCTACTTAGGCCACTGGAAAGATTTCTGTTCCTTCTCAGCATTCTATTCAGATAGAGACACAGTTCATTTCCAAAGAACAAAAACTCTGTTAGGTAAAATGATCACTTCAACCTAAGATGTAGACCCCATGGTAGATATGAAAACTTAGCAAACTAATGATTTGAGACAAAAGTGCAGCTGTTTTATCCAGCAATAGATTTTGATTTTTGTTTTCTAATGTTGTCCCTTAAGAAAAATTCAGGTGGAGTTGTGAATGCACTGACCAAACATTTTCTTTAGAAAATGTAGTTAAAAATCAATAAGATTCTCAGTAAATTTTCCTAAACTATCAAGGACTAGATAATTCCTATGAGATTTAAGCTGCTTCAGAGCAAAGCAGAATCAGCTCCAGTCCTACCTGACACCTACCGCACGACCTTGGAGGAGACCTTCACCCTCTCTTGGTCCCAGTGCCCTCAACCACAGAAAAAGGGAGCTGGATGGTTTGCCCTTGCCTGTTCCCCTGGCTCTACATGCAGATCCTTGACTAGCCAGTCCTGCTGAGACCAACAAGTGGCTAAGAAATGGAGTCATTGCATCTATGGGGTCCCTCTTATAGCGAAAGGAACTCTAATCCTTACATGAGCTGGTTGCTGAGCAGGCAGGCTCAACTCCTTCCTACCACTCACTCCTTACTACATCTCAGCAAGATGCCTGCCAACATCAATGGCATTTTATAGAGGAGAGAATGTCTCACAGAGGTTAAGGGATGGTCGATGACACAGCTAAGGGTCATGTCTGAGATCTCTCCACCCCATGGCACAGCCTCCCGTTATAGCACCCTGCTTTCAATCTTGGTGAACTTGTCAGCTTTTAATTGCTGTGACCAAATACCTGGGAATAACAGCCTATAGGAAGGAAGATTTATTTCAACTCATGATTTTAGGGGTTTTGTAGTCCTTGGTTCACTGGCTCTGTTTCTGAGGGCCTGTGGTTCAGGCAGAGCATCAGGGAAGAGGGGATGTGGTGGAGCAAACCTGCTTCCCTCATGGAGCTTGGAAGCAGAGAGAGAAGGAGAAAGGGGCCAGGGACAAGAAGTACCCTTCAGGGTACCCCTAGTGACCTACTTCCTCCAACAAGCCCCCACCTACCTCAGTTTCCACTAACTCCTAATAATGTCACCAAATTTTTAATCTATCAATGGACTAATCCACTGATGAGGTCAGAGCCCTCATCATCCAATCATTTTCTAAAAGATCCGCCTCCGAACATGGCTGAATTGATTGGAGACCAAGCCTTCAACACAAACTTTTGGTGGATATTTCAGATTCAAAACGTCACACTTGCCTCCCTGAACTGCAATAGCAGGTGTCGAAAAAATAATAGATCACTGTTGAGCGAGTGAATGGTTAACTGAGTGAAACCTGAGAAAGAGCCCCAGGGCAATTGATGGGGTAAGAAAGTCACCCACACACTTTTTTGTATTTAAGAACATACTGTTTCTGTGATTCATTTTTTTCACAACCATGTCCCATGGAAGTAGTAAGAAAAAATAAAAAACAAGATACAAAGGAGTAGTCTGAAATGAAGAGCAAGGAAAGAAGAAAAGTAGGGAGCCCGTGGTGTAGGAACACCTGAAGGGCTGGGTCCCATCCAAGGAGAACAACTTCTAGTAATAATAAATAGTGGGTGCTCTTGAGGAGCCAGATCAATGTCACGAACATCCCCCTTTTAATTCTCCTGTGACTTCTGCCTTCAGGATGACACCAGCGGTGACTACAAGAATGCCCTGCTGAGTCTGGTGGGCAGCGATCCTGATCCCTGAAGACACTGAAGAATGAGAGCAGAGGCCAAAAAGCTAGAGACTCCAGGCCCTGCTTGCACAACCTTGGCAATGGACGGGGGTGGGGGTGGGAACCTCAGCCAGGCTTTTAGACTTCTATCCCTAGTTCCCAGTGCTTTTCAGTCAATATTTCTTATTCAGAGGATGAAACCAGCCTGGGGTTCCTCTTTCTACCCTTTCCTCTGGTCATTTTTAGGTATGTGTACCATGCCAACCTTAGATACCTCTAGCCAGACAAATACATCAGCATGAAGGGGCTTTCTGGGGCTCAGTGGTCTTTTTTTTTTTTAACTTTCTAGACAGGTGTTTCTCAAGTTTGATTGATCAGAGAATCACCTAGGTACAGGTTACAGAGATCCCTTGGCTCTGCCCCCATCTTCCGAACCTAGGTCTTCTAATGAAGACCAAGGAATATCTGTCTCAGCTAAGATGTGCTTTTCTATCAGGCAACAGTAAGAATACCATGAAAACCCTATTGTTGTAGAGCTCACACCCAGTGGGAAGCTGGGAAAGGGACACTTTTTCATGCCAACTAGGATGCCTATAATAAAACTCATTCACAAGCCTCATCAGAAATCTTAAAGCTTTGGATGGAAGAGAAATTCTCATATCATCCTGATAAGAGAGTAATTAGACTACAAATCCACATTCTGACCCAAGGACGCTATGTTGAAAGAGGCTGAGACTTTTTCATTTGCCAACCAACTCCTGACACAGCATGCAGCAGAGGGCAGCATGCCAGACCCTGAACACAATTCTTATCCTGACCCAGTGGCCACTGAGCCCAGACACCCAGAGAAGCTGAGGGTAGTCTTTCCAAATATGTTTCATTTTCAGAATAATAAAAATTTATGTTATGAAAAAATGTCTTTGGATTTTTAACAGTGACAGATTCAGCCCAATTTCTTTTGTCAGAAACATATCTTTGGGGAGCAGTTAAACCTCAACACCTTGTGGGCATTTCCCTGAAGGATCACGGAGGATGAGCAGTGCCCACTGTTGCCCTGGGGACAAACCTGTGAATGAGGAAAATTTCTAGTTACTTTCTGATTTGTAGCCAATATCTCAGGGTTGAAAGGGGCTTTGAAAGTCACCTGGTCCTGTTCCAGCCCGCAGCTTGACCACTCTCCCTGGCATTCACCCAGGGGTGATCCTTGGTGTCCTAGAACCATACTCAATATGTATAGAGCACACTGAAGTGTCTTCAGAAATGAAGACTAACTGCTTTCTGGGGAGGCAAAATCTTTTTCCAACTGAGCCCAAACTTGCCCTGTCATGCCCATTGCTCTTAACTCTGCCATCTAGAGCCACAATGTTCATTCTTTCCTAATAACAACATTTTGACATCTGAAGAAGGCCCACATGTTTCAGTAAACCTCTGGCCAAAGGTAAATGCCCCCATTATCTCCTGTTGGTTGGAATCTGATTTGAGACCATGACCTATGAACATGCTCCATTTTGCAAACTCCAGAGCGTATCTCCAAAGGGTCTGGACATGTCAGGGAGACAAGAGCAGTGTGGGCTCTGAGGTCACACACATGGGTTGTGGCTTTGGGGTTCATGACTCTTACCAAATCACTTTCTGTAAAATTGAGTTCCCTTGCATTTCAGTGCAGGGTGGAGTCCTGGTTTAGATTGCTGCCGTAGAGCTAGTGTTGTAAAATCATCATTTAATGGTACTCACAGATTGTATAGATCTAGAATTCAGCCAGGATACCCCACAGATGGCTTATCGATACTGCTGAAAATCTGGACACTTTGTTGGAATGATCTAAACTTGGGGTGATTACAGAGCAGGAGGTCTCCATCACATGGAAGATTCTTCATTTCCATATTTGGTGTCAAGGTGAGGAGACTGAAAGGCTGGCCTCAGCTGGGTTCTGGGAATTCTGACATGCAACCTTTCCATCATGGTGGCCTTGGGTGGGAAAGATGCCCCATGTGGCAGCTCAGGACACTGTGTTCATCTAGTGGGTGAAAAGCAGGCAGCATTGCCCTCTGTGATGTAGACTCAGGAGTCACACTGCATTACTACTCTGCCCCTCGTTGGTCAAAAAATATCACTAGCCATCCATCCAGCTTCAAGAGGTAGGGACACAGACACCCCCCCCTCCCCGTCAATGAGAGGAGGGTCAAGGACTTATGACCCTCAAGGACTCTTTAATCAAAAAGTGGTACTCAGATTATTCAACTGGGTCAACACAGCCCACTTACCTGTATGGCCGATGCCTGTAGGGCCAGAACAAAACTCCAGAGGCCCCTGCAGGGCCAGGCCTTGAGCCTTGGTGCTGGGTGGAGGGTTTATGGGACACCAGGGAGGCTCTGGGGGTGAAAGGCAAGAGCTACATCCCAATATATCTTAGTCTGCACAAGTTGTCATGATAGCATACAGAGGATAATTGGATGACTTGAGCAACAATTTTTTTTCCTAATACCTCTGGATACTGGGAATTCTAAGGTCAAGGGGGAGCCTATGTAGTTTCTGGTGAGTGCTATCTCCTAGCTTTCAAAAGGCTTCCTTCTGTACTTATCTTCACATGGCGTATACTCAGAGACACAAAATTCTCTTTCTCCTCAAATGGTCACTAATACCATCATAAAAGTCTCACCACTTTATGAGGTTAAATGACCTTCTCTAACCCTAATGACCTCTCAAAAGCCCCATCTCCAAATACTGTCACACTAGGAACTGCGCTTCAACAGCAAACATTCAGACCGTAGCACAGCAGTGCTGAGGTCCCCGCAGTTTCACATCCACCTTTAACAGCTGTGCCAGGGTGAAGCACTGAACACTGGCCCTGCCTAATGATTCTCCTTTTCTCTTTTTTAGTTCAAGTTCTGCCCTGAACTTCCTCTCAATGCTGAGTTACTCTCTGATCCACAACTGTTTTCTTCCTAAATGCTTTAAGAAGAACTTAGAAGACTCCTCTGCCCTGTGGTTCTGTTCCCACTTGTTTTCAAGGCTTGGGATTCGTTTGCAGTCCACCTGAGAAAACCCTCACATGGCCAAATAGGAGCTATGAGCAAAGCTGAAGCTGTCCAGGAAATGACAGCATGCCCAAGTGTATGCCCAGCAAGGCCATCTCTTTTAGCAGAAACATAATGCTTATGCATCTCACAATGGACCAGAAGACACTCCTGCACACAGAAGAGAGGAGTGGAACAGAGTAGAAACAGCAGGTCCCCTCAGATTAGAGAGGATGTGTTCTCTCCCTGGAGTCAGAGCTAGAGAAGTGGCTCCAGCTGAGTGTTATCTATTAGGTGACTCTCATGTGACTCAGGAAACAGGAGGTCCTGGCCAGGATGCACCTCCAAATCAGCTTTGCTGGAATAACATTTTGGATACTTCTCATCAGTTACACTAAGAAGGTTTTTTTTTTTCTTTTTTTACACTTTCATGTTTTAAAAGAAAATTTAAAGTCTACTTGCCATAATTTGGGCAAAGGAGAAAAATAAGGGAGTCGTGACAAAAATGCTTTGCTTAGCCAAAATTTAATCAGGCTCCTGAAACTTTTCCTAAGCCTATCAGTACGCTTCCTCATAAAGTCTAGTTTGATCAAGAACCCTTTGAAGCCAGCGCAGCAAGAGCCCCCATCTTCCATATCTGATTGCCTTTGTCACTCCTCATCCACTGCATCTGATGTCTGATGACCTTGGCCTGTCTTCAACAAAAATTCTGTCTCATCGTTTTAGCCAGAATCTCCCTGACCCTGATGTTTTCTCTTGGTAGTTTTCTACCACTGACCCTCTCATCCTGCTCCTTGGCCTCCCTGTCTTTGCTGTATCCAGAACTGAGCTCAGCTCTACGTGAATCTGTCTTACCTCGAGGCAACCTTCCCGAATTGAATCCATTTTTATCCCTTTGATTATTTTCCAGCTCTTATTTTTCTTTGGCAGTAGATATTCCCTGGTCACTAATACCATCATAAAAGTCTCACCACTTTATGAGACTTTTGCCATTGCTCTGTAATGACAATAGTGCGTTGTGTTATTGCCTTTTAAACCTCTGTTAGAGATTGCATTCTTGAACTCTCTCCATTCTCAGATCAAGGCTTTTATTTTTATTAAAGGGGCTGGATCCTTTAACTTGCATCGCAGCACTAACTGGCAGACAAGGCTAGAACAAGATCCAGAGAACGGAATTTGAATTTCTCCTACAGTGTGGACTGAGACAAGGATTTCATCCTGTGTGGGATTCTGTGAGCTGACAATAAGCTTTCAGAATTTTATTTTTCTTTTTTAACTGTTCAGTGAATGTTCTTTTTAGCAACTAAGAGCTCTCTTTTACTACAGAGTTCCTGCCCTAATAATGTCTTATCTGGTTATATGTCTCCTGAAGAAAAGCTCTGAGTCCCATAAAGGCAAGTACTTTGAATATTTGAATATTTGGTCTAGCACATAGCAGGTACTCAGTGAATATCTTTAAATAAACAACAACAATTAAGAATAGAAAATTTGAAAAGAAAAAACTTTCTACAAGGCAGTGAGTTTTGACCAAACCTTTCTGATCAGTGATTCTGAGAAGACTCTGTAGGCCCGTTGGACTTCCCTATGGAAGGAATCCTCAGACAACACTGGAGAAAAAGGTCTGGGAAGGATCTAAGTAGGGTGGAGAGCTGTTCTCAACTCTTTTGGCACAAACTCGGCCCCAGCCCTTGTTTTAGGTTCTGCCACTTGCCACCCCAGCACCCCCAGTTCATGCCCTGAACACACACCTAGCACTGATTTCATGCTCTTGTGGAGAAAGGGCTATTGTGCTCAGCTTGACTTATTGAGCGTGTGTCCTTGAGCTACAGAAGGGTTGCCTTTCTGGGGGTTGAATATTTGAGCAAATCAGGATTCTTTAGGAAGGGATAAAGCAGGGGAAAACGGATTTGTGGTTAGCAACATATGTTGTCACCAAGCCTTCTCCCTGCCCCCAGATTGGGGCTGGGCAGATCATTCTCGATAGGGGAGGTGAAGCTTGAATATTTTTGAAGAATAACTCTGTGCTTATCAGGTTGAAAGGATATGAAAGAATATTCCTGGCTGAGGGAGGAATGTAAACTATGGAAGAAGGAATCCGGTCTGTACCAGACACCCTAAAGGAATGGCATGTTTATGCCTGCAGAGGTGGGAGAGTCCACAGATAAAGACGTCAGAGGCCAAGGAAGGAAGGCCCATGCTGCCAGGCTGAGGAGTTCAAAGGATTCCCAAGGTCAGTGGGGAAGCTTTGCAGGGCATGCAGGGAGAAGTAGCTTGCCTGGGTTTCAGTAAGGTTTCTGTCCTCAGGATGGATGGTGAAAAAGTGTAGCTGAGTTTGAAGGGAAGGGGCCAGCACTGAACCTCTTTCCACACTCTGGTCTGACATGCAACCAATTCCCTTCAGCCTTATAGCCCAGTATTTTGTGGTCCTAGGTAAATTCCCTGGGAAGAGTGTGGCCTTGGTAGCTGGTCCTGAGAAGTCTTTCTAAATATTTGCATGTACCCAAGACCACCTCTTTCCTCTCAGTGAGAAGAAGATACTAATTTCACAGCTGCTACTCTGAGACCATTGACACCTGAAATTTCTCTTGTGACCCTGAGGCCTAAGCCTGAAGTTTCTGTACTGTCACAGCCCCATGTAGGTGTCCACGCTCCCTCAGGGTATTGTGCCCAGGTAGGTCATGCCTGGTGCTCCAGTGGCCCATGACTACCTTTGTTCCCCTACCAGCCTCTTCCTGTCCCTGGGCCTGTCCCTGGGGCTATCCTCTGATAGAATTCTAGGGTTTCCAGCAGGTGATCAGGGCTGTCCCTGTTTCTGTAATATGCTGTGGACCTGGATTCCCATCAGCCTCTCTCAGACGAGAACCCCCAGGTGGTGTCTTGGTTGGCCATGCTTGGTTCACTCTGCCTGCAAC